TTTTGAGTTTTGAATTTTGTGTATAAATCAACACCAACGCCTCAAAGGCGAAAAGGAGGGCAAGATTGTTAGAATTGCTATTGTAAACATGAGCAGTTTCGAGCATAAACATAATATTGAAACGAGTAATTTTTACACATCTGATTGACTAAATTCAGGAAGCCATTTAAGTGTACGCGTATTTGTTACAATTCCGATCAACTCTGCCGTGCAGCACGGCAGAGCCAGAGTAAATTGTAAACAAATTGTAAGTTTGTGAGAATCAGAGTTCAAAACTCAAAAATATTTACTGGGTACATGTAAAACAAAGACCTAAAATCTAAATTTTCAAAAGTAGCTTTAATACTGTCAAATTTTCCGAAGTCTGATTTAGTTGTTTCAAAAGTATAGAATACACACACACTTCTGTATGGATTTCGTACATGTTCTGCATGTCTTACAGTAAAAATACAAAAATTGTCCCACTTCCGCGGTTTGTTGTGATTTACTGTAATTTGTTCTGTGTTTCTGTAGCGGTTACCGATTTATCGGCAAATACCGCGATAAAACGTAGTTTTCTTTATTTATTTTATTCTACAGCATTTATAGTTCTACAGCTATCTTATACAGTTTTATAATATAATAGTGAATGATTCCGAATATTCAAAACGGATTGAAAGAATGAAAGCAGTAATTATGTATAACAGTTTAAACCGGCGTAGGCCGTACAGCACACTGCTCACTGGGACGAAGGATAAACCGAAAATTCACTTCTCTCCATGACAAGCTTTTATAATGTTCAGTCGATCCGCTACATTGAAAGATGAGTACTTGGCTATTTTTTGGCAGGGGTAACGAAATATATCGGCTGTTCTCTAAGTGTTTCTTAATGCGTTGGCCATCGGAATATATTGATATAACTACATAACTCATAAGCTTGATAGATATGTGACGAGTTTCACAGGCACAATCCTATTTTAAATACTATGGCTTTTGGCAGTTTTGCATCATATGTGCAGTAAAAGCCCCATTTTTCTACTTCCTCAACGTGTAAAACGCGAAAAAACTTTATTAATAAGAACAAAAATTTGTAATAAAAATTTGTAGTAAACAGTGTATTTTATTATAAAGGATTTTCGTTTTTCTACTGCTCCGTAGTTCGTGTGCTCCGTGCTCCGTGTGCTCCGTGCTCCGTGTGCTCCGTGCTCCGTACTCCGTGCTCCGTGTGCTCCGTGCTCCGTGTTTTACTAATAGCCACCTTACATGGAATATTCGTGTGATAACATATGTGCTAAAGCGCAGTATGGGATAAAACTGTTTTTGAAACGTTCTGTTCTACATTTAAAAAGTGGATACTTTCGAGGGTTCCTAAGATGATTTTTATGGTAAACAGGATCAGGAAGAAGTTCATGTAATTTATTATCATGGTTTAAAACAGATTTATACAAAGACAAGCATTGATTCTCTCTGCGTTCATGGAGTGTAGATATTACTAAAATCACTAAACTGGCCACATCCCGCTAAGAATTTCAAACGGGGAAAGACGTTTGATAAACGGGGAAAGACGTTTGATAAACGGGGAAAGACGTTTGATAATTCCAAATTCAATTTTCGTTCAATCATGTGATCAAATTGTTTCATCATTTTGGTCACATGACTTCACGATTTTGTTATCAATTTATTTTTGTACATGGGTTTCTAATTTTATTATCCAATCAGGTGCGTAGTTTTGAATTAAATGTCAGAAATTCGTTACTCAACAGTCAAGTTATTCAAACGTAAACAAGGTCACAAACATCCAAACGAAGGTCACTGCAACAAAATATATGAAATATTCGTTTTATGTTCATTTTAAAGTTCCATAATCGTAATGAACAATCTATCTAGTATCTATCTTATAACATGATCTCCCTTTTAGCGAAAATATAATCTCTATCTTGTAATATACTGAGTTGTTTCGAAGTTGACTGGGAATAATTAGCACTGTCAAATCGTGAAGTCATGTGACCAAAATGATGAAACAATTTGATCACATACATGATTGAACGAAAATTGAATTTGGAATTATCAAACGTCTTTCCCCGTTTATCAAACGTCTTTCGTCGTTTGAAATTCTTAGCGGGATGTGGCCAGTTTAGTGATTTTAGTAATAATCGCGATTCGGTTCAAGAGAAGCAATATATGAGAGATGAGGGAACATAATCTTTATCGCTCTTTTTTGAACATGTTCGATTTGATCAGATAAAGTTGAGGAGAGTGAAGTATGCCAAACCTGGCATGCATATATATTCCAACACCGGTCGGATAAAAGTGCAGACGATAGTTAATAAGTCTGCAGCCGAGACACCATTTCGTTTCAAAATTCGAAGGGCATATAACCTTTTATTGTGTCAAAATATGGGTTTCAATTGAGATGACCCACTCAAACTAATGTCTAATCTTCAAGTCAGTACATTTATATATATATACGAATCGTTAACTTTTATAACCTTTTAACTTGTAAATAGTATGGCTACTTTTACCAATTTGTAATTTCAAGTTTTTCAGGTCGCTGGACACGCCATGCACCTGCCATTTGGAAATTTTAATAAATCATTCATTTCATGATTAAAAAGAAGACAAAAAAGTGCGCAAATGCTTTAGCTTCTTCAGAATACAATCTTTTAGAATATGGTCACGCTAAGGAAGAACTGCATAGGATCTTAGGTTGGATGGAAACTGAATATGACTTAAGAAGTGACCATGGTAACGATGATGATGGTACTGTTGATATTGATGGTACTGTTGATGTCATGTTACCATGACAACATGACTTCACCATCAATATGGCCTATATCAACCAGAAAAGCCATCTTAGCAGACAAATAACCACGGTGACCTACCTTTTTATTGCAGACAAGACATTGTTATGAAATTTTGAATGATTTTTGAAAGTTATTTGAAAATCGCCAGTGTAGTTTTCGAGAAACTGAATTTCAGCCTTTCCAAAGGCTAAAATGCAATCTTAAAGGCTAATTCAAGGCTGAAATTAGTTTCTCGAAAACTACACTGGCGATTTTCAAATAACTTTCAAAAAAGTTTCAAAACTTCATAACAATGTATTTTCTGTAATAAAATGGTAGGTCACCGTGGTTATTTGTCCGCTAAGACGGCTTTTTTGGTTGATATAGACCATATAGATGGTGACGTCATGTTGTCATGGTAACATGAAGAGTAGCGATTGTGGGTTAAAATTACTCTTTTATTTTAGAGGAAACAATGGCTTGTGCAAAAAATTAGTTTTTTATATTCAAATAGCTTTTAGTTTAAAACACTGACATATATTGGAAACTTTAGGGAGCCTCCTTAAATTACAACCGCTCAAATAGAAAGAATGAGACTAAAACTAATAGATTAATTAAAACGTTTTAAGAGTCGCTCCGCGTACCTATAGGATATATTTAAAATATAGAAAGCATCCTTAGTCTAAAAACGTGCTCATATTAGGTATTACTGCCTATACCCATAAGTTTTAATCGTTTGCCTTAGTGTATAGGAGTGTAGCGTGCTAGTGTGGTTATGGCGTGGTAACTCATCGGACATGACACCAAATTTAAACATTGTACATGCAGATATTGAATACCATGCATGATGCATGCAGCTAGCAAGTAATTGCTACGGTTTCTTTATTTGACAACATTGTTTTCGTTCTATCCTTGAACATTAATTTTTGGTGCATGTGATCACTCCCTTCTAACCATTGAAACTGAAAAGCCTCCGTGCTCAATCTTCATGATCAGCAATTGAGGTACAGTTACGAAGGTGAAGTATCTGACACGCTGTAGTTCCACGTATAATAGTGAGGCCAAGATCCCAAGTCCCGTCTTTCAGCCTTCTCATCCTCCTGTTTCAAAAAGAATAATTTTGTAAAAATTAAGGATGCACGACAAGATTCTTTTTAAAATTATTAGTCAGATGCCCTTTGATTTTCTTTTAATAGTTTTCGACTATATCTAACTCTGTAGTCTTCGTCAAATGTCACTATAGAATCATAAAAAGGAAAACATTTATTGCTACATTTACTTGTAGTGCCTGTATTCTGCAATTCCACTAATGGATACTTTCACATGAATTCTCCAGGAACTGATGGGATAGTCAAATGATAAAAAATATTGATTTCAGCGATTTAAAATTTTATAAAAATGGTAATTAAACTAACGAATAAGTTGAGTACAAATTAGGGCATAAATGAATACAATTATCATTTGTCAAGAATCGATATGTCATATTCATTTTAGAACTTGTACAACACTGCAAAACGACAACAAGCATGACATCTCTGATCTCTCTAACACATAAGGCGGAACTCGACTTAGCGGGTGGCCAGCCTGATGAGTTCTTCCCTTCCTGGGACCTTGCAGTTTTTAACCCACCTACAAGGATATAATGCTGTTGTTATTTAGCTGGGCAACAATTCGTGAAAAATTGTCGCCCGCTCCGACTACATCGCTACGTGCACAAATGGACAAAATGGAACTGGAAGTTTAGAAATAACGTTTCATTGTCTTGGGCAACAGAAACTGCTGCTGAAACACTTTTAGCAAGTTCTTTTATTATTAACATTAAAGGGGCCTTAAAGCGCCTGGAGAATCACTATTCAAACGCTAATGATTAAACATGCATTATAAAGCATGATAACACACGTCAAGCCACTAAGTCAGGTTTATCACGCATTCCAAACAACATAAACAGTGCCATGGAACGCGCCTAGACAGGAAATGCTTATCTTGCATCCCAATTGATATGACAATGCATCATTTCTTGCGGGGTCTCGCATGGCTGGCTGACTCATAGTTTAAACAGGCACCCAAACCATGCGAGTCACACATGACTCAGGGCATTTTTTTAACTATATAACTACTGGGGCATATACCCCATGCAGTAGGCCCTTTACTTGTCCCACTATAGTGAAGCATGATTTTCAGATGAGCTGCGCCCTTTTGACTGCCTGCTTTCTCATATCCTCTCACATTCTCGACATTAATTCCCTCTTATAAAAGTCAGCACAGGCAGGGGCGGCGCTAAAAGGGGGTTGTGGGTTTGGAACATCCCCAATCGTCAGGTAGTCTGCAAATTAGCTAATCCTAGTTGGATAGGAAGAAAAGAAACTAAAACATTTGATTAACACTAATAAAAATCTAATAACTGTAGTTAAAATTATGGAAAATTTAAACAAACAATGCTACGTTAACCCAAACGAAAATGAAAAGTATAGTGTCCGGAAAATTTGTGATGTTGAGCCGTGAAGCCGCTAGCTCGCTCGCCAACAATTTTGGGAAACTGAGAAACACTAATTAGTATTTGAAATTAGTAAGCATTTTTTCACTTACACCCTCCCTCCCCATAGGGCTAGCGCTTCCCCTGAGCACAGGATGATTTTTATGTACCCGTAACTGTGTGGGAAAAAGGCCCACATTGAGACTTAGCCCCAGTAGTTGTAATTTCTTAAACTGAAATGCCCTGTATGACTGACTGCGAACAACGTTTCGCAGAAAATTTGAAACGCTGATTAAAATGCTGTAAATTCGAAGTAAATTTAATCTTTTCTTTACGTACTCTTAATGTGATGTTTAGATCATAAGAGATCTAGACATTATACTTCAAACTGTAATTAATCAGTGCAGTACTGTATATAGGGGCCGGGCAAGGGAAGCAATCCCACAGATCACGTACTTTTCGTAGTTTAGGTTAAGCCAGTTTTCCACTTCAATCGTATCGTACCGAAACATAGCGTATTTCTTTGTTTCCTGAGCACTAGAGTGGAACTAATGATTTCGACACAAAAGAATGCTACGATACGTTACGATCGAAGTGGAAAACTGGCTTTATACATGTATCCTACATGGTAAAGGTGATGTTAAACGAAATGATTGACAATGACGATTTGAAATGCATGGAAGCAAAATTTTATTTGCTCAGTCACGCGATGCGTTACAAATCGTCGTTCAAAACGTTAAGCCTTAAAGTTAAGCTTTAGCAAGGTAAATTTCCAAGACTGACACTCCTGCCTGGCCAGTTGGGCAGTTGCTAAGCGCATAAAATACGTATTGTAAAGGAAACCATTTTTAGTTCAGTTTTACAATGCTTAATAACTGAATATAGAGGTCCAAGCAATTTTATGGCAGGTTCGGTTTTGCGCAAACAAAAGTTAAGTACTAAAATACTAAAAATTCAGATGTTGTAATGGTTCGATGACAACTGAGCAAGTTTTCTTTAGTTGTTGATATGCCTCGCATGATTATGTGGCTCGTTTTGCTCTTAATTAATAATAGTACTACTGGTTTTACAAAATCATAGATATCCATTAAAAGTTTGATTAACTAAATCATATACAATGCACTTAATAATAACACGATGTCGAGAAAGTTCTAAATAAACAAAGGGTTTAAGGATATTTTGAAGTGACGATGGATATATGAATATGCAATTATTTCTAGCATGCATGCAGTATTATACATTAAACTTATTTTCAGTGGAATACATGATCAGGAACAAAGATATACTACTACCTTATCATGCAGTGAGGTTTAGATTTGACTATCATGCACTACCACTATGTACCGGCCTTTCACCGATTAGTCAATCGGATAGATAAAACGCATGACTGGCTGGTTTCTTAATGGTATCGGTCGTGAAAGACTGGAAGTCAAATCCAAACCTCGAGCACTACTGACAATTTGGCTTCGGTAATACTGAAAATATTCATGGACATGGGTTTCGAACATTACCGCGATTACGAACGATTACGATCAAGCATGCATCATTTGATGTACACTCGATCTAGTCGTACTATAATTTTTATGGTTATTACACTTTCCAAATTGTGTTGTAGTATTATTTAAAGAACTAATGACTAATTCCTTGAAAGTTTAGTGCAACTGCACATGATAGACTATTTTATATACTAACACATAAGATAATGTATACTCTATCCAATTTCAAAATAAACGCCGAGCAAAGTCATCCTTCAGTAGTATATATGTTGACGTAAACAAGATGAGGTTCAAATGGACAATTATTATATTAATATAAAATATGTACAAATGAAAGCGAATTAAGCTTTTGTTTTCTGGTCTGTCTTCTGATGATATTAATGTAGACAACGAATACTTAAATCGTGTTTATTTGTGCATATATTTTATATATGTTATATTTTAATAAACAAAAGGCAAATTGGCGTTAATGAAGACGACACGCCACGACATTTACTTCACCTTGTCCTTGGTTACGAAAAGAGATCGTTAATTAATATGTACTTACAGATAATTAGGTAAAAAAATACCAGTCGACAGTTTTAAAAAATATAAGACAAAACGCAATCCAAAGATTAGCATCTCGAAAACCAGGTTAGGGTAAAATGCTTATGGGAATGATTTGTAAAGATGTTTCGAATTTATTAGATCAGAATTTATTAGGCTGAAATTAAAATTAATTAGGCTGAAAGCAGTAACTCGAGCAGTAGTTTCCAATATTTGTAATCCATGCATAGTTTGGTTAAATTGCTTTAAATATGCTAATCTTCGCGATTGTGGTTTGTTTTATATTCTCCAAACATTAACTAACACCGGAAAACCTCTGCACCCAGAGTACCAAACATTGTGGTTCGATAAAAATTCTATAGGATCGAAGCGATTGGCTAAATGTATAGTGCATTGTACTGCGCGCATGGCTGGCCATATTTGTGTTTCACTAGGAATTAATTCCAAATATATACTTAATAATCCAATAATCAGAATAGCAAATCGTCTTTCTAGATATATAATTTTCCTGAAGTCTTTCCTTTGGCGGAGATTAAATTATCCAACGTCCATGCAATAAATTCTATGCACTGGATAATTGTCACACACAATCGAGGTTCCCCCTCGGCTATCTATGCACGGCATGATCAATTGCCTCTATACGTGCAAAGACTGCATGTGCGTGCAATGTGCCGATGTTAATATAACAACGTTACAGCACTTATATAGGAGGTTTAATTTTTCTGCACATCAGAATCGGTGCAACAATATGACTATATATGCCACTAATGCACGTCCGACTATGCATGACGTCGTAGTTATAGACTGCTCAGAAAGACTAGCCTGCGAACAGGCCCTGGGTTGCGGGCGGCGCGAAGAATAGAGGGCCTGCACGGATGATAGGTTTTCTTGGTAGTGGCGTTCGTATAGAAACGCAGGCTTCTGATTGGCTTACACTCGTTGACAAAATTACTAAAAATAGCAAATGTCAACAACAGCATTTTGAAGAATTTGAACTTTATTACTCCGGGTACTGTAAGTACCGGAGTATTAAAATGCCAGATCTTTTTTCTTAGGCGACACAAGTGTGCACTTCCACAGGTGCACCGTACGCAACGCACGCAACGCACTACAAAAATACGAAATATCTAAAAATAGCCGCCATTCGTAGTGGATCGGAACGAGCGTTGTGTTTACAATGTATTTAGTTCTATTTACAGTAAATATTATCAAATGGAGGGGTTCTCATACACTCGTTTTTATACAGTGACCACAGTTGAGTTCATATAAATACAAATCGAAATTCGAAACTTTCTCGCGTGTTTAGTAGCGGTCGCCGTTATTGCAAAGCTAATTCTGATCGACAACTGGCTTGGTTCGTTACTGACGTTAGCCCGGTATTTTTTAATTTTGTCAACACTGTACGTAGTTAAATTGTGTTAACACTCGTCACTCGTGTTCTTTAAGTCTCCCTTTGTGCAACCTCGTACCCAGGGCTAGCCGCGAATTGAAGGCGGCGGCGTAGCTTGCCTTCAACTCACGACTGGCCCTGGGTACGAGGTTGCCCTTTGTGCCCCGTGGCCAAAATTGAAGTACAAACAACGCACA